GCTGCAAAGGTCCGTTAATACGGTTACCAACCGATTTAATTTTTAAATTATGAGCGAATCGAAAACAATACGAAAGAACATGTTTCACAGTGGAAACCGACGAAAATTTATTTAATAACGAGTCAATAAGGTTTGATTCGTGAGATGTCAGAAGACTGAGTATACGTTGCTCCTCCTGCACAGGTTCCTCGGTTGAGAAGGATAACGATCGAGTTACGGGCCACCTATCCTCAGACTCAGTCAGCCAAGAGGGACCGCTCCACCACATATTATGATTGACGAGGTCAACCGGTAGCAAGCCACGCGACCCACAATCCGCAGGATTCGTGTGCGTTCCGACGTGTCTCCATCTGTCAGGAGCCACAATCTCCTGGATATGACTGACCCTATTGGCAACGAAAGTCTTCCACTTCGATGGGCACGACTTGATCCACGTCAAAGCTACACTCGAATCCGACCAAGCGAAAACGTCAATGTTGGGATGGAACGGTTTTAAGGCTTCGACCAACGAGTACATGAGGTCTGTAAGCAACACCGCAGACTGAAGTTCCAACCTCGGAATCGATTGTTTGCGGAGAGGAGCAACCTTAGTCTTCGCGCAACAAAGATTAACGATACACGAACCTTCATCATTAACTACTCGACAGTAAACAACAGCACAGTAACCACGCTCTGAAGCGTCACAGAAACCGTGGAGCTGCAACGAAACGAAAGAAGCGAAAGGGCCAACGATACGACGAGGAATGCCCAATGACGCTAACGACGACAGCTGGGATTTAAGACGCATCCACTCGGAAGCGATCTCCGAAGGCGCATCTTCGTCCCAGGTAGCACCAGACGTCCAAAGGAGCTGCATGATATACTTGGCATAAAACGTCACAGGACCGAGAAAACCTAACGGGTCATAAATGCGAGCGATCTCTGAGAGAATAGTACGTTTGGTGCATCTACAATGCAAAGTATCTGCAACACGAAAACTAAAAGAATCTGATTGTGGCTGCCACAACAGACCTAAGATTTTAAGCGAAAGGTCAGGAACCTCTTCAAAACGCTTGAAGTCACCCGAATACAAGTCCGAAGGGGGAAGGCTATCGAGAAAAGTGCTACTGTTAGAGGTCCACTTCCTCAGATGGAACCCACCCGACGACAATATTTTGGTCAGTTCCATCTGAAGAGAGCAAGCCTCCTCGACCGAGTTCGCACCAGTGACTACGTCATCGACATAGATGTCACGTGACAGGACTGCGGAACCAGCTGGGTACTCCTCAGCAGAATCTGTGGCAAGTTGAGCCATGGTTCGAAGAGCCTGAAACGGCGCCGACGATACTCCATACGTCACGGTTAACAATCGATAGTCACGCACCGGTCCATCAGCACTAGGACGCCACAAAATGCGCTGGTATTCCGCGTCTTCTTCTGGAACTAATATTTGCCTATACATCTGTTTCACATCTCCGGTGAAAACAACAGCATGCCAACGAAAGCGCATAAGCAGATCGAAAATATTAGTCTGAAGTTTCGGCCCGGCGAGTAAGGTTTCATTGAGTGAGACCGCTTTGCCATCTCTCGCGCTGGCATCGAAAACAACGCGGAGAGGCGTGCTGACAGATTCAGGGCGTAAAATACCGTGATGGGGTATGTAATAAAACCGACCCTCACTTGTGGGAGGAGGATCAACCTCTTCAAGATGACCGCGTTCTTTATAATCTTCCATGAAAGCGACATATTCAGCTCTTAATTCAGGACTAGTGTTCAATTTGCGTTCTAATGAGAAAAGGCGTTTAAGCGCAATTTCACGGGAATTCACAAAGACAGGTTTATTTGTGGGATCGACGAAAGGTAAGGGCACCACAAATCTACCTTCATGGTTACGAGAATGATTATCGACAAAATAACTCTCACAAAGTTGGTCCTCCTTCGACAAGTAAGACTTCTGCGGAGAATTTACATTTTCTATTTCCCAGAATCTTTTAATGGAGTTATCCAACGAAGTTTGTGAAATATTCGAGACGAGAAGGCAATTATTATTGCTACGATCGATAGGTTTGGGTGCGAGTCGATTGACGTCACACTCCCCCAAAATAATCCATCCAAAGATGGTGTTAAGCGCTTTGGGCTGACCAGCCTTCCCCTTCCTAAGGCCCGGTAGTAAGGAAGAAGCGAAAATATCTGCACCGAGCAGTATGTCTACCGGCCCTGGATGAGCAAAGTCGGGATCAGCGAGAAGTAAGTTCCGTATGTGCGACCATGCGGACGAATCAATAGGTTGGGCAGGCTGATCAGCACAAATTGCCGACAAAACGAGAGCTTCAAATTTTATATTTGACGACAGTAACGATTTACCAGACGGTTTCAGTTCACACGACAACGAACCAAGTGGCTGAGCGACAGAATTGCCAATTCCATTGACGGAATGTTGGCCACGACAAATATTAAGTCCCAGCATTTTGGCACAGGGTTCCGAAATAAAATTACAAGCACTAGCGCAGTCTAGCAGTGCACGCACGGGTTGAAAGTTACCTGAACTATTTTTAATTAAAACCTTGACAGTCGAAAACAAGACAGTATTTTTACTAGTTATTGAAGTTAAAACGATATTATTCTTATCAGGTTGTGTACTGTCAGTTACAGATGAGGTCTGAGTTTGTTTTGTAAAATGCAATAAGGTATTGTGTGAGTTACGACACACTCCACAACGAGAAGCACGACAAGTTTTTACCCTATGCGTATCCGAAAAACACAACAAACAGAGACCATTCTGTTTAACAAAATTAAAACGAGAATTTATGTCAAGTTTTAAAAATTCATCACAAGCAGTGAGACTGTGCTGGCCACCACAAAAGCGACAGGTTGGACAAGAGACTACGAACGACTGTTTAGGCTTGCTTACCCCACTATGTTTACCCTTAAAAGAACCACCCGAATTATTCGACAGAGGTACGACACTCGACAGGTCCAGTGCCCTATATTGCTTTTCGATAAAATTAATGACGTCTGAGAACAACGGAATTTCATCACTATTATGCTGTAGTTGAAATGCTTCACGAGTGCATTTATCCAATTTTGACCACAATAGGTAAAAGAGCATAAAGTTACTATTTGGTAAACTGTATTTATTTAAGACCGATAAGTTCTCAGTAAACGTGCGATGAATACGTTCAAGGTCACTGGCCGTCTTTGTTTTGATCGGTTCACAGGATAATATTTTTTCGTAATAGTGTGTAGCAATCTGTCTCTTTTTGTCATAGTATTTCCGTAAACAACCGTATGCATCCGTATAACTTTCATTGCTAAGTGGATAATTTTTAATTAGTTCATAAGCAGAATTTTGTACACTCGACAACAAATAGTGTAACTTTTCGACATTCGATATATTATTTCTGCTATGAATTAACGAATCAAAAAGTTGAATAAACGATACCCAATTTTCTAATTTCCCATCGAAAGGTTTAATGTCAATTTTAGGTAAATTAGCCACAACTGCCTCGCCAACACAGGGTTTCGATTCACTTTCTTGTGATTGTTTACTACGCAAACGATGTTTAATAGCTAACATTTTCTTCTCGAATTCGTAAGTTGCACTCATCTCCTCACTCCGCGCAGACGGATCCGATAACGATAACAACACCTTCCGCTGCGCGTCATGGAATTCATTAGCAAGATCTTTAATGTCCGCCTCAGTGCATCCCAATAATTCGGAACTTTCAATAAATTCCAATCGCATAATAGCATAATCCCGTGCAATTCTATTTGCATCTGCAATTTCAACAAGTGATTCATTTGTTGACATTGGCATTTCGAACGACAGATTAAACCAACTGTCAAACAAAATTCAATAACAATAATCGATAAAAAAAATAATTAAAAAAAAGAACTAACCCGGTAAATGTTATGATTGTCTATGGTAGGAAGTAGTAGTGCCAACAAACAAAAAAAATCGACAGCGAAAAATATGGCCGACTACAACTGCCACCACAACGACACGAAACGAAACGATTTATCGCTCAAAGCAAACCACCCTCAACTAATTTATAAAAATGAAAAATGTGTAAATCNATCTGTGGTACAATGAACTGAAACATATGAATTAGTAACTATGCTATTAATAATGTTTCATGTCATTATGACAAGTGAAAGAATGTAGCGTATGGCTGCAGTGTTAAATTTATTCAACTGTTTGCAGCGGATATAATTAGCTGTGTTACATGTTCATTTACTATTTTAAAATAATGAAAACATCCAAGCGTGTAGTTTGCAAGAAGAAAATATTATCGCGTTAGAATTTGTCACATTGAAACAAAAGAGGATCTTGATAATTCAATCTATTTTCAAGTTCTCATTTTAGATAGTGTTTTGTTCTCTAATTGCGAAAGTAAGTATTCGTAAGACACACCGCAGTCTATAAACTTTTTGTCGGCCGATAGTTTGGTCGGGCTGTTAATCAGTACGAACACGTATGGAAGTGCGCACATCACACCGATTTGGTATCGACGGTTTCCTTATACAAATTGGAAGCTACCAAACTATTGGCCGACTAAGTCTGTAGTCTCTGTGCCGTGGTGGCAATCTACTGCTAAGTGTTGCCTAAGACAGTCGTTTTACGCGAATCCATAGGAATCATTAATATTGTTAAAAACAACTTAACAATACTGTTACATTGCACTTTATAGTCTGGCGGCTTAGGGCTATGCTCTCACGGATGACTTTTGTCACTGTGATATAATAATCTTTCTCTTTTACATTTTTATAAAGAGAAAAATAGAGATATCGTGGTGTATAATCTCAAATATGGAGAGACATCTGTCACTGTGACAAAAGTCGGCCGGCCCGCGCCTGTATTCAAAAATTCTTAGGGCCTTGGCACACGGGCGGATTACAAGCGTTTTCAAAGCGCGTGGTCGCTCCGCTTGCAATCCGCCAGTGTGGCAGCTCTATACTATGACCGCTTTGATTGCCTCCATTTATCTTAAGTATAAAATAAAGCATCTAGATAAACTTACCTCATATTCTATCATAAATATCACAGCGCATATTACGACGGCGGCAAGCGACGCCTTCGGAATGTAATAAAAGTATGGCGTGAGTAGACTCAGGGCCAGAAGCACTAGCACCCCTGAAACAAAAGTGGTTTTATGCTAAAAGCTTTAGGTTTTAGTACTTATAGTCCCAGAGCTAGGCTAGGGTTAAATTTTGTCATTGTCAATCATTTATTTTTGTAATAAAATGCTTGGGAAATTAAATAGTATCATGATTTTATTAAAAACTAGCTTTCCGCCCGCGGCTTTGCCCGCGTGAAAAAAGGGCTGTCTTTAGGATTTTGCCGGAAATTCAACGAATATTATAAAAAAAGATTTGGTAAAATTGGTCCAGGCGTTGTTGAGTTATGTGCTTACCAACACATTTTGCAATTCATTTTTATATTATAGAAGATGTTCAACGTGTGTGGCACGCTACTGCTAATCCATACACCGAACCGGAGGTGACGTTTACGGAGCATGTTGTTCATGAAAATATTGTTGCTGGGTCGCATACTATTTATATCATAACAGTTGGGGTTTTGTAACTTCATTTCATTATATAATTTATTGTAATGAAGTGCTAAATTTATTCGAGCCGGCATGACATGACAAAAAAGACAATAAGTATCCAACAAATAAAAAAATAATCATTTACGGTGTTAATATTAATTGAAGCGTAATCTATAAACAATACATGTTTAACAAGCTTTCCTTTGAAAATACTTTTTTGTGCGAAAATTAATTTGCCGCTCAATTGGTCATTAGTTATTGTTAAAGCAGTCATTTTGTAATACGGAAGTGACGTATGAATGACGCGGTATTTTGGTAATAATCATTTAATAAGCGATAAGATACACAATCTGTAAATAATATAATCGAAATAAAGATAATAGTAATCTACTTTAAACGAGACCGCCTATAGGGGGTATATGTGTAGTCGTATAGTAATAATATTTTTACATGGTATTGCATAACATATCAGGTAATATTAAGAGTAGGCGCACACCATTGATTTTTCGTTGGCCGATAGTTTAGTCGGGCAGTTGATCAGTATGAGCATGTATGGGAGTGCGCACACTACGCCGATTCTTCATACAATTTAAAATCGGGCACAACTATCGGCCAACTAAAAATCTACGGTGAGCGCCTACTCTAAGTAATGAAGTTTCAACAAGTAAGATTAAAGAGATGAAGGGATCAAACTATTCATCAAAATACATGCGCACTAGCATTATAAGGTACAGTTGCACTTGCGTAGCATATCATAATAGGAATTCGTTTAGCGGGAACTGAGTAAGTCGATTTTTGATGTTACTCATTTAACATTTTAAATACATACATACATACATAGTCCATAGCAACTCTTGCGTCGCGGCCACTGCTAAAGACGCTACGTTTCTACTGTCGCATATTATATTAGTTATAATAAAAAAAACAGGTACTATTTTAGTCTTTCAGTGACTCACTTTTATCTTGGTCCACAGGCCAAGTCTTTGTCAGGTTTGAATTTTTAAATAGTTTTTCTTCCAGCCACCTTCAATGTTTTTAACACCTCTAAGATTCTAGAGCAGATTTTTGTTGATTTGGTGTTTAATTTATTAATAAAACATTGAAGGTGGGCCAGTTACTCGAACAATAAATATTTAAAAATTCAAACCACCGACTTATTGGCCCGTGGACCAAACTAAAAGTGGGCCAAGTCACTGGAAGACTCCTTTGCAACAAAAACGCCTAATCTAAAACTTACCTGTATAGACACTGCCCATTTGCGTAGCCACACCACTGGCGTGGTTCACAGCACTTCTGGAGAAAGACCCAGTGATAGGCATCGCGCCAACAAACGAGCCGAGGACGTTGGAAAGAGACAGCGTTAGCAACTCTTGCGTCGCGTCCACTGTTGATCCACTTGCTGAAAGAGAAGAGAGATATTGCTCGAGCAATCAAAGCACTTTTATCATTATAATACTCTCCTTAGAACATTACATTTGATCCCAGATAAGCTCTAAGAAAACAGGATCTGCCAATCGTAGAAGGGCAGTTCGAATGGCCGACAATCTAAAGACGAAAGCTCGCAGCGTTATAGTGGAGTCTTACGAAGTCTTTTAGCGGTTACAGATGTAGAACCTAGAGCCATAGATATTACACAAATACTAATTAAAATAACTAATAACTTACCAAAAGCTTTAGCAATAGCTACGTTTCCCAGCACACCGATGACAGGGACCAAAACTATCGAGGAGCCGAGGTCTGAGCACATCTCTATGAACGTGACGTTCCGGCCTCCAAATGACGTCTCGAAAGGCGGGACCGACCATGACGGAAGACCTTCCCTATGACAAAGGGAATAAGGCTCATTTGATTTCGTTTATTTGCTCACATGCCATGCCAAGTTTTACATAAAAAAAAATTACAACTGCTTCATTAAACTCAATTCAGTCAACAAAACTACTGGCGGGGAAACTAAAACAAATGAATATATGAATGACAGTCGACTAATTTCTTTTTTCAAATGAAAATGAAAAAGGTCATAACCAGCCAGTTCTCACCTATGATAATGTTTAATCATCCTTTTTTTCTGTTTCGCTACATGTGCCAGTGTGTCATCATCATCATCAACAGCCCTTTACAGTCCACTGCTGGACTATGAGCCTCCTCCACTATAGTGGAGGGTCGTGCCATAATCTCCACGCTTGGCAGGCGGGTTGGAGATCGCAGTTTAAAAGATTGATGTTTTTCAGAGAGCGCTGCTGCCCATTCTCTGTTTGATGTGTAGTCCCTAAGTCGCCTCTTACGACACCCGCGGGAAGAGTAGGGGTTGGTGACAAATGTATTCTACTCTGCCGTCACCACACTCTGCTTCGCCAGTGTGTATTTGTTCAAAATTATATACAAAATCTTATCTCTATAATAATATGATTAATATGCATCCTTTAGACCTATTTTCGAAGAAAAATTTTCTTCAATCATTTTTTTGCAACGTTAATTTAATTACATTATTATCTACAAGACTGCGTCCATTTGCTGAATAAAAAATCAATATTTTGTAAGTGTAGATATGAAAAGTCATGAACAGTTTTTTATGATACAAGACTGTCACCTATACATTTATACGCACCGTCGAGAATGCAATATCACAGCAAAAACTCCATTAATTATATTCAAGGTCACTGTTATAATGGCATTGTGTTATTGTACACGATAGTTTATCTAGCGTTGTAATAGGCTAACTTACAGTATGTCACTAAAAATAAAAAATAAACTAAACCTTAAAATTACTAGGATATGGTTCAATTTACCTTACAGTTCCAGTCAGTTTAAACGAAGACCCAGAATTCTGTTCCATCACAAAGGCTGCCACTGAGCATAGGACCACTACTATGGCGTTTCTTGACGTTGAAAGCAACCAAAGGGTCTTTTTTAACCCTTTGCGGCCGGAGGGAAGGTTTAGATCTTTCAATTTCTGAAACAAAATAACTTGTGAGTTGAGTTTTATAATAAGTAAGGCCCGCTTTCCACCGGAGCAGAGAGAAGAAGTGTGTTTGATAAATCATTCAGATTTCGTTATTTTCTCTCTCCACATTTGTGGATACCGGGTCTAAATAATTTGCAAAGAAGCAGTAATCGTGATTTAAACAAAAAAGTTACGAAATAATACTTACACGCATTAATAAAAGAATTACAATGCACGATATTCCTAGTGCACTGTCAGCCAACCGCGCGTTTGGTAGATTTATTACCACCTGAAATCGTGTGCTGAATGTTAAAATGCAGGTATGTCACTCTTTTTATTAGAAATAAATACATAAAATATTCCACTATCATATACAACCCGATTGAATTAACTGCGCACCTGGCAGCCGTGACGTCACATCAACGCTCTGATAAGGCCGAGGATTCCGTCAACTGGGACCACAATTAACTGGGACCGCGGTCCCAGTCGCCGGATGCGTAAAAATTAAATAATTTTCTTCCGGCGACTGGGACCACTCATGGATTTTAGTACTGTACCGATTTTGGATTGAATAATATTTTCTTTTAAGTTATCTATGAGTGGTCCCAGTCGCCGGAAGAAAATNTAAATAATTTTCTTCCGGCGACTGGGACCACTCATGGATTTTAGTACTGTACCGATTTTGGATTGAATAATATTTTCTTTTAAGTTATCTATGAGTGGTCCCAGTCGCCGGAAGAAAATTATTATTTTTTTATGGATCCGGCGACTGGGACCGCGGTCCTAGTTAATTGCGGTCCCAGTCGCCGGAAGCCTCATAAGGCCGGACGGGGCGAATGCGGGAAGGTATGCGGGTGAGTGCGAGGGAGAACTACATTCCAGCGATGTGTGCAGTTAGCTCGGTCGTGTTGTAGAGATAGATATATTTCCTAAATGTATTTCCATTTTGGGGCTATCTGTTGCTGTAGTCAGTTATCATCTCGGTATGAGAGCTGATGATGATGATTGGATAGATCCGATAAGAGTGAAGTATCATTGGTGAGTAGACCCGCAGTTTTGTGACACGGATTAAAGAAGGCCAAGGCTTAGGCTTGTAAATACACAGTACTAATAATCCCATTAACTATATCCCGTAAACTAAATGAGTGGATTCACCAAAGTTGTCGAGCGGCCGTGGGGTTCCTCGGTTAAAGCAATTCAACTCACCTGCTTTACAGTGTCCAAAAATCCTCCCGACTTAAACTGCAAGCCTAGAAGGCTTTTAATCTGTGACACAGCTATGATGACAGAGGTGGCCGATGTGAAGCCCACGGTGACCGGCACCGATATAAAGTCTATCAGTACGCCTGGATGGAAAAATATAATGTTAGTCAACTTTTGGTTTATTATTAGTGCAGTGCTGTACCCCCCGAGTCGAGCAAAAAAGCGGCACGGCATTTATTTTTTACAAGCTTTTGACCGCGTGAATTTTGGTCTGTCACAGCACAGATAGACTTTATCGGGTGCTTGACCCCTTATTTTGAACGGGAATAACAACTATCCTATGTTTGCCCTGGGTTTCAAACTATCTCTACACTATCGTCTAAATTAATCGTGGTTTATGAGTGAAAAGAGAACAGAGGACAGGCAGAGTTACTTGCGCATTTATAATTATTAGTATGGAACTATGGATTCTTCGCGAAGAGTAGGTACAATTCCTACGGACATTTAACAATAAGAAACCCAGTCCAATTATAGGTTTCCTCCACTGTAACAATCAATCCGTTTAGCGTCTTCCGGTATTATACTAAATGACTAAGAACAACTGACTTTAACTGTATGTGTTGCAATACTAAAGTTATCTTTCGTAAGATAGAAAATCAAGTTATGGTAATTCTGGAGTGGAACTGAAATTGAAAACATACCATAGGAATATATTATTTTTGATTCTAATATGTGCAACTTTTTCCATGTAAAAAAAAATTACTATTGAATTCCTTAAAATCGGCTTTCCATAGGAATGAATGTGTAGAGCAACCAGCTTTCAATTCATGTAAACAAAACTTTTCCCTATTCATGAGAGGATTTGCTTCAGTAAATAGGTACCTACTGCATTTGTATCACATGTATAAAAGTTTCACAATGCACACCATGATGATAAGCTGTGACGACAAAATTCTCTCATACTTATCAATTAACAATACAAAAATGGTCAAGGTTAAATTATAACCGCAGCGTCGTAAAGATAAGAAGATTAACTAGCGTGAATTCTCTCACGACATCGATACAATCGACAGCACATCAAACCGTACATTTTTGTTGCAATATCATCCCTATTACAAATACATAAGATGCCCCTGTGTGGAGCTTGATGTGCTATCGTCAGTGCAATATATTGCTTAATAGTTTGCCTGCTATAAAGGTTATCATATCTCTTCATCCCTTATCTGCCCGTGATTCAATAAGGAAAAAGATATTGTAAGACATAACTTTAACTTATACACCCTCATCTATGTGTAAAAGTGGTAGAAATGCAGATTGCCATAAATAGAAAGAGAGCGAATAAGCACTTACAGACAGCATCTCACTCACTTAATATCAGGTGCGATTGCGGTCAAATACCTGCCTTGTTCTGCATAACTAAAAACACATTAGGAATGCTTTGCTTTGTTAAGCAACCGTAAAGGTTACTACTATTAATAATATAAAATAGTTATTTATAATCGGGCAACTATTTTAAGCCTACAAAATGCCTAATTTAAAATTAGGTTTTTTTTTCTGATTTTTATTTTGTTTGCTAATAGTTAGTAAAAAGTGTAAATTAGCTCATTTGAAAGTCTAAATAAACCTATTCCTAATCATGAGTCAGTCACATCGAATCAAATATGAATTCACTGATATAAAAATAAAATGGTCAAAATTATTGTGTCATTTTAATAAAAACGACACACGGCTTGAAGGCGTTAGAGGAACATTAGGCCTTCCCAAACTTCAACCCGTCTGGTCAGTGTAGTAGGTAAATTAAAGGGTCCTGCTCCTGCAGTGGACTAAATGACCAGATGAAGTGATAATGATGATACATTCCATATTTTAAGCTAAAAGAAAGATTAACTCTTTTTTTAAATATGGACTCACAGTCCAAAAAACGAAGGTTGATAAAAATATCACGTGTTTCGCAGAATGGTTACCGATACCGCAATATTGTCACTATCAGTTTGCGTGAACGTGTTATATTCGTACGATTAGTAGCTTTAAAAGCAGTTATAAACGAGTATCGATATCGCAATGGTTTTAGGTTCCGTGCACGTTCAAAAAACTGCACCTGATTATAATCAGGCCTGGCTCACTCCGCGCGGTACATCCGATAATTACCTACAGCGAAGCGCCCCGCCGGCGGGTATTATATCAGTCGAGTGTCACGCGCGCGCTCGTCAGGACGCTGGCGCGTGGCGTGCGTTGTAGTAGTATGATTATTATTCTATGATCGAAGTATTATTTAAAAATGGACATAAAGAGAAAGAAATATTGTGCGGCGTTCGGGTGTTTAAACGAAAAGTAATCTATCTTTTTTTTTTTCGCTTTCCAAAGATGCTGAAAGGTATGTTGGCCATGTAGGTAATCAATAATTCTTAGGATAGTATAGGAACCTAACCTACTATGCAGGATTTCCATAATGAATGCATACTTACCTACATGTACCTCATTACAAATAAGTAGATTAATTATTTTTTCACTAGACAGCAACCCTAACAGCGTAAGAAGAGTTCAGAGGCACGCGATAGAAAGAGACAAAACTTGTAGGTGAATAAAATTGTAGGTACGTAGTGCTGTGCGAGCTGAATTCCACTGTATCGCGTCGTAGCAAGACTCGCATTTATTTAAATCGTCTTGCGGAGTAATCCTTCTGTACCTTTACTATTACTTATTCTGTGTTATAATGCCAAAGATTGCCTTTTCAGTAGGCCTAAGATGCGCGCCGCGATAAGCGGTTATCACGCCATTTTATCGATTTTGCCCATACATTTTAACGTCGATAAAAGTTATCACGGCGCGCATTTTAGGCCTACAGGAATTTTTCGACAAGTAGAGGGGTAGCGGTAGTTTGTTTTTGTATTAACTTATTTTTACCAAGTTATAAACAGGAATTCATGTATGATAAGTGATAAGATCAAAAATGTACGGAGCCCTCGCAACACGAGGGTAACGCTGCTAGGCCGGTTTTTTATTAGTAAGTTATTTTTAGAGTGAAAGATAATGGTATGACTAGGTCATGTTCAAACTCACAAGGACTGTGTGAACCAACAAAACAAACTTGGAAAATATAAAAAATAAGTACCGATAGAGCGACTGTGTTGGTTGACTCTGTGTATATCGTAATACAGCTTGTCAGTAAAACCACAATAACGAAGGTAGATTCCGCGAAACTCAAGGTTTTTTATTATTTTATCCATACTTACTTATCCAATATCCATACTTAATATTATAAATACGAACATACACTTGTTTGTCCTAGTCCTACTGTGACCATTTCTCGCTCACACTTCTAAATCGATTTAGATGACTTATCAAAGAAAATTTGAAACCCAGGGAAAACACATTGAAAGGGATTTTGAACACAGCGATAGGTACGGTCTACAGTCTTTCCGTGACAGACTGAAATTCACATGAGCTACAACCCGGTCAAGTTTACTGCGCACCTGACGGCCGTGACGTCACGTCGACGCTCTGGTAGGGACCCGGACCACAAAATATAACAGAAGGTATACTCCATACTAAGCGCGCTCGAGCCACGCACACATAGACACCGCTCACGTACTTACGCGTTATCAAGACTGTCTTGGACGAATGCGAGGCGCGACTGCGTTCGCTTGAGTGACGCTGCTCACGCGTTCGTAAAATTATTTTGTTAATGGGAAAATTAGTGAACAACAAAAAAGGGGTATTATAACATTTGTTAAGTAGACGGTTGCTTTAACTCAACATTAAAAACTAAATTTTCGTTTTTGAAACTAACAGTTGATTCCGGGAGGTAAGTAAGGTATTTATTTGTATTTCAATAGTTCGTATAACGTTGACAAATTGAAAGCCAACTCAATTATTAGGAATATCGAATTGTTTTAGAAAGGTTTTAGGAATTATTGGATAATAGTGTCAACCACTCAACTAAATACTACTTCTTTCTCGTGTATTTGTTTGCAAACTATTACTATAATAACGTACTAAATATAACTGCATAAGTATACGTGGATATCTGTTATTGTCTCTCTTCCATAATATTAAGAGTAACATTTTTCTATCACAACGAAATAAACGCAACACATGACAAGACAACCCTAGCGCGACGGCCGAGCGTGCGAGCGAGAGAGGTATGCAAAGCGAGGAGTACATACATGAGTTTACCTTCTGTTATATTTTGTGCCCGGACGGGGCGAACGCGAGGGAGAGTCGCATTCCAGCGAGGTGCGCATTTAGCTTGATCGGGTTGTAATAAACTAACTTAAATAAAATGGAGTGAACCATACCTAAATGTAATATGCCCATAATGAACTGCACTACGCCAGTCAAGAAACACAGGAGTACAGCATAGTCTGCGTTTCTATTCTGGATCTGTTGGTACGTCATGAGCGCCATCAGGGCTGTGGGGCCTAGAGTGATGTCCTTGCATGACCCAAATATTGTGTAGATGAAGCATCCCATGAAGGAAGAGTACAGGCCATCCTAGAAAGAAAAATGTATGATGAAGTTCAGGTTTTCACTTTCCTGCCTGCTTCTAACAGCCGACAGTTAATCTGGATCTGTTGGTACGTCATGAGCGCCATCAGGGCTGTGGGGCCTAGAGTGATGTCCTTGCATGACCCAAATATTGTGTAGATGAAGCATCCCATGAAGGAAGAGTACAGGCCATCCTAGAAAGAAAAATGTATGATGAAGTTCAGGTTTTCACTTTCCTGCCTGCTTCTAACAGCCGACAGTTAACGCACTAGTAGTTTGGGTAGTTTCATTATAATAGATCGACTCGCGTGCTCCTAAATACGAAGATCCCGAGTTTGACTTCCAATGAGGGCTATCGTTTTAGCGCTCACCAGTTAGCGCCACTGTAGAGTAAGGTCCTGTCACTTGCTAGTAGCGAAGACAGTGGCACCAACTGGTGAGCGCTAAAGTGGTAGGAGGACTATCGCATTTGCACTCATCAAGATGGCGCCACTGTAGAGTAAGGTCCTGTCAATCGCCAGGGGTGCCAACTGTTAAGTATAAAAACGATAGCCCTCATTGTCTGAAAATAATACGAATTCACGAAGGTTTCGTTGAGCCCTGTTTAGACATGGGTAAGTCCCTATTCTAGCCTAAGTAGTCCGACTCTATGATAGTTGTTACGTTTACTAACCACTATACAGGGTGGTGTATCTATAGGAAAATTCAATGTTTCCAGCTATACTTGTTACCTGAGGGTCCAAGCCAGCCAGTGTTGCATAAGCTAACGCTTGTGGAATGACTGTCAGACCGACTGTGACTCCAGCTATGAAATCCGCCACTCCCTTCTCGGAGTTGTACAGTGGAAGCCAGCTCGCTATCGGGACTCGTTTGTGTATCAGTCTTTTGCACCATGTCTGCCTTTTCAGACGTTTCTTCGACGGGGAAGACATTATGTTGGACCTGCAGACAAAAGAAAATACCATTAATCAGGCTGAACTGCAGGATTGACAGATTGTTGACGTTTGTTAAAGATAAAGTAGATGAAGATGGTGCAACTCAGCCTTAAAAAACTAAGGAACTTTTCTAAGAGTAAACAAAACTGTACGAGTATCAATACAAAGAGAAAAACAAATATCTGCAAAGAAAACACTTTGATTTTACAAAATTGAAACTATCATATCGATAGTTCCACTGCGAACTCATTGTCCCCGATATACATTGTTCTAGTTCTGAATGGGATTGCTCTTGACAAAAATAAAGATATTAACGGTACACGTCACAGGAAACCTTTGAAATTCCTTGTTCCCGATAAACAATACAAAAGTAGACAAAAAGAAACAACACACAAGTTGTACGGGCATGATATAATAATAAATTGCGGGACAAAACTTCTTAACATTGTTCATTTCCTATTTTCTGTGTTATGAGACTTGTAAGCGAACTTTTGTTCTGAAAGAAATGAAATAGGTAGCCGGTTTGAATCAAGTTTCTTAGTTAATTTTCATATCTGTCTAGCCTACCTATTATTATACCAAATTGGATTACTAAACAATATTCTTATGAAAATACTAACTGCTTAACATAGTCACATAAAGATGTGTGTTGTTACGTTTCTTTCTTTGTTTGTCAACACTTAACAACATGAATACATTACTGTGACATTACTTACTTATACATACTAATAAGTAATATTTATAAGTTTGGTAAACAAATCAGTAGAGTACTGATTAACTAAGAAAAACTATAAACTAGATAGATAAAAATTTAAATCCACGGACCAAGTAATTTCAGGAGAACATTTGGACAGCTGATTTAATTTAAGACCCTTTGTGTCGCGTACTTCCAATTTCCTAATAAACGCCCAGTGCTAAATACGACCGGCGAAAAACAAAGGCCGAGGCGGAGCGCAGAGGAAAGGGTCACAATAATCGATGTCTCTTTGTTTTATTGTTCCAAATTACAAATATTAAAGTCCTCTATAAGCTTTTGTGTAAATAAATGAAAATACTCCGCTGCCGATGTAATTTTAGATCGTTGTCTACCACACTGGACCGGCTTAAATTGGCATGTCTTTATTCAATACTGATCAAGGACACAAAGAACAATCTCTGTTCAGTTCCAAACCAAAGACCAAAGTTCAACATTAATAAAGCCTCAAAAATGGCCGGTAAGTCTCAAAAAAGGATATGTTTTGTTGAAAAAAGCATTTACTATAACTACACGAGTTACATGTTTTTAGCTTGATGTGCCGTCGAAGATATTATTAGGTTTATGAGAACGTGCGTGAAAATGAAAATTTGGTGGTAACACAATTGCGCGGTCAGTGTTTCGGCTTAGGGATGGGGGGAACAAATCAATTACTGTCAATTCACCTCTTACAAGATAACTATTGGGGGGGAAAATTACCCATTAGGGTGTGGGGAGACTGGGACAGGGGTGTTGGTCATGTTTCAGATAATATTGTGGTCGGTTGTGTTAATTTGCGATGAGATGTTACATCGGTCTAATAAAACCTTGGTGAACAATGTCGGGGGGAGGGCTTTGTTGCCTAAATCAGGTGGGTCTAACCAATTTATTTGCCAAAATTGGGTTGAGGATTTCCATTATCCTCTTGTTTGTGTTTGTACAGCTTGGATGCTGTTAGTTGTATCGTTTGCATCGATATAATTAACAATATCGGTAATCTATAAGTTGTTTCGAATTCTTAATTTTATAGATAACCTTGGGATCTTCCAGTGTTTTGTTGAAACGCAGGTGCTAAGGTTTCTACATTTGTGTGTATTTGTACACGTGAAGAAGTTATAACTATAGTCGTGCGTGACAACTGCTTCCACTGGCAATTTGTCATTTGCTATATCATTATCATCTAAGTATGATTGAAATCATGATTGACCTTCAGACAATTTATTCCGCTAGATAGTTATGTCAACAACTTTTCAAATTACCTAACAGTTGCTTTAGCATAAACCATAGGTAACGGTCAAATTGTATGGTTTCAAATGCATGCATGTCACATAGCGGAAACTTTTTTGACTATGTTACAATACTTAGGTATACATTTTTTGGACGTAACAAAGCAGAAATTATATTATGACATAACCCATCTGTTACAAATCCTACTAAAAGAGTCGTTAAATAAATAAGTGATCTTCAACTTGACCAGAAACTCTTGAGTCTTCATTAAACAGGTTATTATTTCAATGTATGCAATATTTACGGAAATGAATAAGATAATCAAATGTATCTTGAAAAAAGCACTAAACATAATAACAAACACTTCACTCTAGCACGGTGAAGAAGTGCAGTCGATAGTTCAGCACCTCAGACTGCTATAGGTACGTTTATATTGGATTGGAAAATAGCATCTATTAAAACACATTATAATATGACACAGTGTTAAGCTTAAAACACACTTTAAAGCAGTTCCATTCCTAAAATATTGACTGGTCCACGATTACCGTGACTGTAAAACCAGCCTTACACCCTGTATTGACGTTTGAGGTAGACCGTTATTTGTATGCGAATATTGCAGTTCATACTTCATTCGATAGCCTTTTGAATATTTCATACATAAATACATTTGTTACGGCCCTGTCGCATAAAGCTTCGTATTCAAATTTCGGCTCAATAGGTCAAGTTACTCGTATTTTCGAGATTGCGTGTTCAGAGAGTGAATGAGTGACCTTTACTAATTACTTTATCTACAAGACCGGGGTTTAATTAAATAAATCTTAACCAAGCCGAATGATACTCGTATGATCGCAGTTTTACTCAATACAAATAAGCTAGTTTTTCAAGAAAATGACACGTGCTAGACGACTTAATATCTGAAGTTTGCCTTGAAATGCCATTTCCTGATGGGGCACTTATACGATTACAACGCAGTATACAGATTTCTCTGTGGACCATCTTATGTGGATATTTCCTATGCCTACTTCTTCCGTAAGGGTTCAACCCTCCTGTCAGATTTACGACTTAATCAGACCAAGGGCTTAATGTGCCCAGTATGGAATCGTAGTTCTTTTCATGCAATCAGGTTGACTCAAGCCTGTAGTGTATTATAAGCAAACGGGGGGGATAAATACACAATGTGGTTTTAACTAAGCGTCATAATGCTGGAATCGAACTTAGGCTCTTTTAATTACGGTCTGCTATAAGATGAGGTTGGAATTATTCTTGATATTTGATTTAGCCACGCTAATGATATGATATAGTCAAATTATCACTTCACGGGATTTATTGCAACAATATCTATTTTAACGGTAAATAAAATATTTACCCTCCCGACGTTTCGGCTCGGTTGCACATAATAGTTTAAAATATTATGATATAGTCAGACTGAGATTGCGTCTATACTGAAACAGACATAGATATGAGTCGGGTTTCAAAAAAATAATGTTTTTTGCATCCAAATAGATTATTTATATTTCCAAGTTAACGGCTGACCTCACAAAGGATATAAAAATTGGTGTCAATGTTATGTGATTCATCTTCAACTCAGCTAATTCTATTCGCATGTTCGACCTATGTCAAAATTTGGAATTCAATGTTAAAACAACAAAGTAATCATCATTACGTCTTTGGCAGGATAGTTCTTGAAACATTTTAGCAGATACTTCCAGGGTAAAATACCTAATATAAACAACCGTTTAGCTTTCTAATAAATCTAGCTCTTACTCTTACTTATTTTTAACTAAGACCTAGATAGATAAACGTGGGAAAACTTCGCGTTAAAAGTTACGCTATGTTTATGGTGTTGACAGTTATGTAATTTGCAATTATGCCAAATGCGCGACCCGTTCAACCGCTTTCGAATCAGTATCCAGATCAGATCATGTTGAACAAGTAGTGCAAATTAGATTAAATTATTTGCTACTAAAGTATTTATAGTCGGTCGAACTGAGGTCGAACTTTAACATACGTGTAAGTATAAGTACAACATAGGTATAAGTACCGTTTATAGAAATTCGAATTTTTAAAACATCAAGGAGCTTTTACACTGCGCTGAAATTAGCCAAGTACCTAAATCCGCCATTAGGTCTTAGTAGCCTGTCTTTAACAATAGGTACCGTTCGTTACGATCAAAACAAAAGAAAAACAATCTTGCCGATTTAATCAAAGTTCAAGCCTCAAAGGGTCCTCCACACTAAGTAGGTGTGAGTATGTAACTATGATGTTCAAAAAGTTCAACCATTATTGTGCTTACTTGTAGAAATATTGTCGAAACCAATAAAAGTCATATGTTCCACAAGATTATTTGCAAATGCATGGAAATATCTTTTCCGACCTCCACTTGAGCATTCCCCGGGGAGACACGTCATCAGATTCAACTATCTGCTGAGCCTTAGTGGGTAGCTCGTGTCCACCAGCCCCTTTTTCAGTGATGTCCATCTATCGATTGAAAATATCGATGTAGTAAAGGATATCGATTGAAATTTCTTAAAAATGCGTCGAATATTTTGTATTGAAATTACCGAGGTATATACCTACATTATTATAGGAAATCATAATATTGAGATTACAGAGGACAGAGTTTAGTATATTTTTATCATAATATTTAAAATAATTCTAAATATTATGCTTTTATCGCATTCATAGGTAGGCATATGAAAAGTCAAAATCATAAAAAAAATGATAATGATAAAATCAATAAAGCTGCGTTGTTCAGAAAATAACGCTTCAAGGCAAACATGAGATTGTAGTTTAGCACATTCATGCAATTTTTTGTTCGGCTCGCATACTTTGTTTAGTTTTTATTTGTATTGTCTAGAACTGGAACTAAATGCTGCTGTAATCGGCAACTGAACAGGGATATTCGTTTTTAATCAGTATTTATTACTTATTAATTTAACAAGATTTATAATTCTACATTTACTTATTATGGCAAAGGTGTTATTTTTTAAACTTTTTTAGTTTTTTTTATATATTACAGTAATAGGTACTTAATTATTATGAACAGT